GCGCATTGACTTGTCACAAACATATCCAAGTATTCCTAAAATGTACCGTCATTTGTAGGCACTCTAGTTTAGAAAATTATCAATTGTTTGACTTAGGTAGTTAGGTTCCAAGTAATCGAGCAAAATCATAATTGCCTATTTGCTATATTTGTTTGATTTTAGAAAAATGTTAGTTAGATATTCTTGAATTAATATTGTTGGGGGTAGAAAGAAGTTATATGACATGATATGAAGTATTGATCACAATAACAAGATGAACACAAAGACAAGAACTAGATTTGGTAGAAGAGTTGAAATTTTTGTTCAATTATGATGGAGAAAGAATAACGTGTTTTTCATAATTTTTCTAACTTCTTTAATAAATATATATATATATATATATATATATTCTTTTAAAAACTCGTGTAATAAAAGAAACGATATTTCCCCAAAAAAAACCTAATTGAATTTAGGTCACAAACCCAACAATCTTCACATTGACACAAATTCTACTATAACAAATGAAATTTCATAATTTCTCCACCTGGAGAAAAAATTCAACTGCAAGGAATGAATTGAATTCTTCAACAATAACCAAACAAACTTCTGCAACGAACAAAAAAATCTCCACCTCTTCCATGATATCCAACTAGGATAAATGAATTCAAGCACTACTCTGCAGAATTATCTCAAGTTCAACCAAATCACAAAATAATTTAAAATTAACAAAATAGGGGCGAAACGCACCCTAAAATCGAATCAACACCAAATACATTTGTGGAAGACTCCTTGCTAGACTCAACACCTTTACATAAAAAGGAAAAGAAATAAAATAAAATTTCCTACCTATCTTTAATGGGTCTATCTTTTGCAATTGAATACGATGACATCACGGGTGGGATTACCCATATCGTCTGACCTCGACTGAGCTGTATTCTTCGACATGGACCCCATATTCTTCACAAATTCTATACAACCTTGCAAGACATGTAACTATGAATTTTTTTGCCCTTTCAACACAATATGGATACTGATCAAGTGTTCTAATTATCTCATTCACCAAATTAAGTCTAATTTTACAAATACCAGTTACCCTACAAGGTGAGTCGTTTCCCATGACCTCGACACCTGTTGAAACTATTTTATATGTTGAAAAATAATCCCAATTAGGAATATATGAGAAGCACAAGTTGTATCCAGAATCCAATCCTCATTAGATTTGGACTCATCATTAGAAATAGCAAACATATTTGCATCACTCAAGCAGTTCTCTACGACATTGGCTTTACCTGTAGTTTTTGATTGCTTTTCCTTCTGATATATAACCAAATTTTCTTTATTCTGCAACTTGTTATAATCCTTCTTGATGTACCCTTTCTTTTGCAATAAAAACAAATTTAATTACTGAAATTAGATTTTGACATGCTCTTTTTCGTGACCACCATTAACAACAAGGCCTTCTCATCTCTAGCATCAGATCCTTCATCCTTTCATTTGAAAATAAAGTATCACACACATTTTCAATAGTGAAAGTATCACGACTATATAAAAATCGTGTCTCTAAACGAAGAGAACAATGAAAACAAAAGAGTTAAGGTCAAATCTTCTTCATCATACTTAATATTTGAAATCTCCAAATCAGCGACGATCTCCTTTAAACAATTAGGTGATTTTGGAGTAGGTCTTCTTTTTGAAGATTAAATGTTGCAATGTTTAGATGATTTAAAGAGAAAGAAGTCAACAAAAGTGAGCTTTCTTCCTCTTTTCTTTCTTCGGATAAGTTCAGACAAGGTTACAAAGTGCTCCACGTAAATTAAGCAAATTTTGACCTTTTTCATTTGTTTATGCTTTTTAATTTTTCTTTTCTTAAAAAAATATTGTATTTGCGCCAAAAATTCTAAATAAATTGCATTTGGTCGTTTCGATTTGAATAGTCAAATAAAAATGAAGCTAATCAGGACTTCTCGAACGAAAATTATTTAAAGTATTATGATATTTGTATTTTTAATGTGACGAGTAATCACACAAAAAATTAAGTTCAATTTATCTCTCTTTAAAATAATTTTTTTTATTCTCATACTTATTTTCAATCATACATTCACACAATAAAAATATTTTACACATAAATTCAGTATTTTTCTATACTTTTAAACCACGCATTCTTCAAAAAATTATTATTCACAACTTTTATTTTTTGAAAATAATGACCATAAAATAGGAGCCTAATTGTTTCATTATTATGTATGAAAATAATTCATTTTCCGAACTTTTTCGCTGAGGTTGTGCTACTCTTGCTCGCAAGAGTCACATAAAATTGTGCTTAATATGCCTAACAATTTAATATCTTTATTTCCCCTATATTCATTAGTTTACCACTCAATACTTTAGTAAATGACTAACAACAGAAAACTCCCAAAAAAACGTTTCCATATGCAATATACCCTCTATCGATTGGAAATCGTTGAAAATCCTCATATTTGAGATCTTTTGTACGAAAAACCCATTGCCGTCAAAATCTATCAGATTTACCATTAAAAATAGTAAAAAAATGTCAAAATTAAAAAGAAATAATTGCAATTTAAGTATTCAAATTTTTTATTTTTCAAAAATCATATCCAAAGTTTTTATATGTGCCGCCCACAATTCCAAATATTTAAAACTTAATTTTCTTTAAAACTTTATTTTCCTCCCTACCCCACTCCCCATCTTCTTTCCCACTTCCAATCATACACAATTAGACGAAAATCAACCAAGAAAATCCAATTAAACACAACCACATTAGCAGAGTTCGGAACTTATACAATCTTTTACATGCAAATAAAAAATAAAAATCCAGTGTTTGATACTGAAATTCAACAGATCAAGACTGGGTTTTGCATCCTACAAAGCAGTCATCATCAATGGTGAAGATAAACTTCTTCATCGGAACCATCTAGCCAAAGCATCGACAGGCCGAAGGACTTATGACCCTGAATCTTGTTTATTTCATTTTGATTGTATAGTTTATAATCAAAACGAAATACACGAAGACTCAACTTCTTCTTAGGATCCTGGCATTAAACACAGAACGAGGCTAATGCAAATATTGAAAAGAAAAAGATTTGATTAAAACTTAAAGTTGAGTGACCCAATTGGGAAGCTCCAATAATGGACCTTAGAGAGCAACCATTTTTTCATTTTGGTTTTTTTATTTTTTATTTTTTTATTTTTTGGGAAGAAGATGAAGTAGGTGGGTGGCAAATAATGTTCTAAAGTTTGGGATTGTTGGTGGCACATATAAAAATTTGAATAAAATTCGTAAAAAAAATAAGTTTGGGTATTGAAATTGCAATTATTCCTCTTTAGTTTCAGCATTTTTTTTATTTTTTTTTGGGACCCTTTTTAATGGAAAATCTTATGGGATCTTGATGGTAAGGATTTTCGGACAAAAAATTTCAAATATGGGAATTTTTAGCGATTTCGAATAGGCAATATCGCACGTGGAAACATGGGATTTTTTGTTATTAATCCTTAATAAATTAAGCCGCAACTAGTTTAGACGTTTTTAGAACTACTCCACAAACCATCTCAAAGTGTTCTATTAGATATTTCTAAAAATAATATTAATGGTAAATATAAAGCTTTCCTTTTTTTTCGGAAGTATGAAGCTTCGTCACTTGTGTGCTTAGTCACATGAGGTTGAAGTGGAACAACGATTTTGAGCTTGACTATAAAAAATCAACGCATAGGTTGACTGGCATTGACTATATATCCCTGCACGCGAAAAGTATGGTCAATATTTTGAGGAGGAACAATGCGATTAGTACGTGATTTTTCACGGAAGTTTTATCGGATTTCACATGGTACAGATTGATTGATAAATGGATAAAAAAATCATTTGCGAATAAGATGCTGTCACCATAGCACTTGTAGCAATTCTATAAAAAATCCCAGTCTTTTAAACAAATAAATGATAAAATTTTATTAAATAATTTCCTCATAATAAATACAAAATGATGCTTACTACAATTCGATTAAAATGTGACTTATTGGCCCTCACGTGAAACCACACGTGCCCTTTCTCATATTGAATTCTACTTTTCAACCTATGTGTCTTTTTTGTCCAAAATGTGTTTTGTAATATAATTTTGATGAAAAATATATAGTTAAAAAATAATAAAGAATTTGGGTTTGTGTATAATATTATTTTACTATAAAATGTCTTATTGAAAATAAAAAAGAGAAAAATAAATTTTAGAAATAATGAAGATCAAACAAGGGATTAATATGTTTATATTTTTCGCCTTTTTTACTTTACGTACAATCCAATTCAAATATTAACCGTCAAAAAAAAAAAAA